GTGTGTTTTTTTATTTTTGTGTCTGTGTACACGATAAGTAGTCGAAATAATGTTTCAATTTTCAACTTCAGTTTATTGTTCGATTAGAAAGTGAACATCGTTGGTGCATTGGGGAGGTCAAAATTTAAAACTCCCAGTAATTTTCAAAAGTCCCAAGAAAAACAAAAGAAAAATTAAGGAAACACGGGAATTTTTACGCAAAATCGATTTTTTACAAAATTGAATTTGGTTTTTGGTGTAACTTTAAAACAAATGACCGTAGATACATGAAATTTTCATTGGTTGTTTATATTTGAATTTTCTATACACGATAACATTTTCAAAATATTTTGAACTGTTTAGGGACATTTTCACTTTCCATTTTTCTTTAGTTTTTTTTCTAAAAATATCAATTAGATTTTATTTATTGGTTAAAAAAGCTTGGAAATTTAATAGAAGGCTCCTAGTATATTGTTTCAAAGGCAGATGAAAAATATTGAAAATCCTTAGCCACAGTTTGTTTTTATAAGCATTTAAAGTTCAAAAATTGACAAAATATGGAAAAATCACGAAAATTATCAAATTATTTTAAGTTAAGAATTCGTAAAAATTTTTCTTTTTAAATCTAAGATTTTAAAATGTAATACAAGATTCCTTATAAAATTATCTACCTTTATCAAAAAAATAAATGTCTATAAAAAGGTAAAATTAAATTTTTATGAGCGTTTGAAATTCAAATTTTTATTACATAGGATATTCACTCGATTTCTCATGTAGCGATTTCCTTATTTTGTTGAAATTCAAAAATGATTAACTGTAGAATGTAGATACATGACAATTTCACTGAATGTTTCTATTAGCATTTCCTATGCACCATACAATTTTTAAAATATTTTGACTCTTTTTGAGCTGTTTACGGACATTTACAGTTTTCAATTTTTTTTTAATACCATAGATAAGTATATAATGTCTTATATCTAGACTGACATACCGTCTCCGCTCAGAATCGTTGTTCTTATACCATAATATATCGTTAAATTCAAATTTAATACCTACCATCCATTATACAGTGACCCCCTTGTAGCCTACTGTACAGCAGAGCACTATTTTTAAAATTGATTTGCCCAGAATCTAAAATGAAGGGGAATTAGCTTAGTGAATCAACATGTGTATAACTAAATTAGTACAACTTGCCAATAAAATATTAAATTTATTGCAGCACACCCGCGATGCAATGCGCTAGTTGCACACCTCACACGACACGCGCGTTTATAATAATTATGCGTTACGCAAACGCTAAAACCATAATAATATGACGTAGGTACATGGTACATATAGACATATAGTATAATATACTATATATCTTAGCTATTCTATGTTTAATACATCATTATTATTATTGTAAGATTTTATATTTTTTTTAAATTCCTAGTACATTAGTCATCACTATGTGCCATGTGGTTTTAGATTTTACTATTTTAGAGCGAAACGAACGGCTATGATAATATATTGTTGGGTATACACTATACATTTATACCTATATAAGAGTATACTATTAAACTACTTAATACTTGAGCATTGGTTGCATAAGTGTAAATAATTTATAAGGAAGGGGAAATAAATACATTTTAGCACTCTTAGACTCAATATTAGCATCCCTAAAATATAGTCATATTTCTTAATTTGTGTATAGATATCTACCTAGGAAGTACCTACCTACCTATTCAATTTTAATATTATGTTTTGCGTTTTCAAATTTATATTAGTATTGTTTAACTTTTTAGAATTTATATTTTGTAATAGGCAATTGTTTTATTTTAGATTTGTAGGTGTGGGTAGTACTATGGACTACTGTAGAATTAAATAGTTTGATAATAATAATAACATTAAATATTATTCTTGTCATTATGATTGGGTAAATTTTTCATACCTATAGTCATTTTTAAACTGTAATAAGGACTGAGATTAGTGGAAATGGTGTTTTATGATTTATGGGTAGCTACTTCCCACCTAATCTTGATTTTTTATAACTTATTTAATCATTTTAAGTCATTTTTTTGAATTTGATTTTATCAAAAGGTCTTATTATTTTGCAAATCATTAATATTAAAATATAACATAAAAGTACAAAAATTAGCTACAAAATTGGCTAAACACGGTGTAAAACATGGGACTGCAGCGATTGGCCTTGCCCCCCTCTCTGGATCCGACGCTGATATATACATCATGTTTCTTTAAATGCATTTTTGACACTTTTGAAATATTATTTTGGACTTAATTTGAGCAGCGATATTTTGGAAAATGAACGAGTGAATAAATTGATTATTTTGAACTTGGAATACTTTTGTGATTATTACGTAGTATAAAATTATTATTGTGGTACATAAAATTATTATTATGGCAACACTGCAGAGTATTGCTGTAGTGATAATATTATAGATGTGATATGGACTTAAGAAATTTTTTCGCGTTTTTTTTTCCCAGACCCAAAAGCCAGAGTTCAACCAGCTTTATTAAACAACAAATAAAATTTTATTGATATTTTTAGAAAAAACTAAAAAAAAATGGAAAATGAAAATGTCCCTAAACACCAAAAACCAAATTCAATTTTGTGAAAAATCGATTTTGCGTAAAAATTCCTGTTTTTTCTTATTTTTTCTTTTGTTTTTCTTGGTGTTTTTGAAAATTACTAGGAATTTTAAATTTTGAACCTCCTCAATGCACCAACGATATTCACTTTCCAATAGAACAAGATACTGAAGTTGAAAATTCGAAGCATTATTTCGACTACTTATAGTGTACGCAGACACAAATAAAATAAAAAAAAACACACATCATTGTAAAATCAATAAATTCATCGTTCCACTCAAAATCTAAAAAAAGGCTTTATAATATAATATACAGTGAAACTTCCATATTATAAGGCTCATGAAGAATTTTGTTTATTAGAATTGAATAAATTTGATTGGTTCTCAAAAATATTTTGTTGAACGGAAGTTTCACTGTATATAAGTATTATAAAATCAGCAGTTAAATTTACTTTATTTTGGATAGTACTACAGTAGTGCACCTGAAACTATTCAGTGTCAGATTTTCTTCACCACGATACATTTTTACAGTATAAAATAATGGGAGGGGTTGAACGTCATTACCTCTGTGGATTGTAAATTCACCCAACTAGGATATATCCACCACTGAAACTATTAAGTACCTATGTGGCTATGTAATACTGTTAAAGGTAGCTGAATGTAATTCACTTAAATACACATATTAGCGTATAAAATGAATTAAAAAAATTGAAATAATTTTCTTTAACTCTAAATAAATAATCAATATTATATCATTCATATTTTATTTTATTTTTTCGTGTAGATGTGTAATTTATGTAAATTATAAATTTTTACCAGTTGCATACGTTGAAAACAACTATTGTTCATTATATTTAATTTAAATGTAATGTGTACTGTGTAGTATATAAATAGTATATAATGTCTCTCGAAGTCTAATTATTTAAAATAACTGTCAGTATAAAATAAAGTTTACATAAATCTCCTCTTCTTCAATAATGCCTTCATGTATGAAGAAACATACCTAATACGTCTTATTATGTAACTTTTTATAAGGTCATATCAATGCCATCACAAGAGAGATACAATTTTAGTAATTTAAGTATTAAGGTGTAATTACACATCTATAATATTCTCTTCACTAAAATTGTTACTATAAAAATTAAAAATGTGTCATCAAAATATTATGTCCTATGCTAACATTAAATTATTGACCAACAATTGTTATTGTATACTAACTAATTACTTATCATGCATTACAAATGTCTTCTATCATTTAAACTTGAAGTTATTATTAATGGATTAATATATAATTTTAAACTTTAATTTAATCAACCAGATAGTATAGTAGTATACTCCACTTTATATTTCACAATAGGTCAATAAACAACATATTTGCACATCAAATGTTTTAAATAATATGTGGAACCTATTTTTTTCTCTCAACATAATATACAATACAAATAAAATAAATAACTGATATCAGTTCACCGTCCTCTTAATTGCATGAAGAAGAACACTTTTACAAATATTTATATTATATTATTGTAAGTGTTGATATTTATTCTATGGTATTTGTACTATTTTAAAATTCAACAATAAGTATTTATGTTGCAATTAATCAATTGAATATAACTATTAGTTCATTATTTTTAGGAAAAATGTTGCTTCACTATAATAGGCTATAAGGTTACTATCTCTTTCATTTTAATAAATAAAACATATATTATTATAAGCCGATAGATAAAAATTAACCTATGACACAAGCATTAAAAAAAATATGTTCACTCTAGCACTGAAGAACCAGATGCACGGTAGTGAGATAAAAAATTTTTTAACTTTACATACTGATATGTTAGTATAGGGTCTTGCATCATAATAATCATTATTGGTGAATGATAGTGGCATAAGTTGTTGAACCAATCTTTTATTAAAACAATTAAGTCATTATTATAAAAGTAAAACTGAACTCATTTTTTGACAAACTGTCAAAATAAATAATATGTTTATGGACCAGGACATAAGTTTACTTATTAAGACAAAATAAGAACAACAAGGAATTACTAATCAACATGACAACAACTCGATCTTCATAATATTGTTTTATGAACTTAAAACTGTCACCGCAGGCTACTTTATGTTGAAATCAAAACTCATAATAGTTACACATATTAAACATTCATTCAATATTTTGTTTCTTCAAATAGTACAGTTGTTTGAAAAAATAAATATAAATATTGCACAACATACACACAAGTGGACAAACATTAATGAAATCATTACAAAAAACTATTTAAGCTATTTAAAATCCACAACCTAATCAATATTAACAAATAAATATTTTCTTGAGTATGGGACAAAAATATTTTAAAAATTATTAAATCAATATGACTCATAACATTATTTTTACTTATAAAATATGCTGTGCCCGTAAAATAAAAAATTATATTATACTTATGATGAAGATTGAGGTTTTGATAAATCATTATCCAATATGTCTGAAGTAGTGTCGCTCAATAATGTTTTAAGGTCAACAGATTTGGGAAGTTCAATTTGTGATGTTCCTAAAATATGATGAAAAAAATTAATTTAAGTTTTATGAGATTGTAATTAAATCTTACCAGCTTGTGCCATGAATAGTTCTTTTAAAAATCCTAGTTCTTTACTTAAAAGTTTAATTTTTTCTTCAAGCATATCATTCTCAGTTTTTAATTGGTTCACACGTTGCAATGTCTGCTGTGTGCGCATTCTACTTTTAACTCGACTTCTTTTAACTGCCTGACAAATTAAAAAAAATACATCAATAAACACACAGAAAACTTGGTATAATACAAAAATTTCAAAAAATACCTGATTGTTCTTGTCTCGTTTGCGTCGATAGTCGTCTTCACTGCTATCGCCTTCCTCCCGCAACACGGCCGATAGAGCCATGTTTTTATTTTCTTTATTTTTACGAGCCATACACCGCGACACACGCACTCTAAGTAATTCTAAAAACCAGTGTTAACAACAAATTACTAAATGTTACAGTAAGAGTGAGATGCCAATGTCGCAGTGGTAAAAAAACCTTAAAAAGTCGTTGCGAAATCAAAATAATTGTTTAGAGAATAAAATGGCAATTATTGTAATTTCGAGGACACGGGAGAGAAACGTGTATAGATGTCTCTAGGACACTATTGTGTATTAATTATTGGGTCATTGACAATGTATTAGACGGTATATATATATTGCGTTATACTCAGACGGCCGAGCAATGTCAAACTGGATTAAGTCCGGCGATCACACTTACTCGAACAGAGCACCCGAATACCCGATGTCTGTCGGAGAACCGAATCCGGTGTTGCGAAAATGAATGGATTTTGCAATTGAATAAATTTGCATCGACTCACGAAATATTATTACTATTATTAATACGACGTTAAATAGAATGATACCGTACGCAACAATAATAATAATTATTAATAATGTAAAATTACAGATAACGGAGGCCCTTATCTTATCGGCGCAATGTTTATTTTTCCGTTTTCGAACGCGCACTACCACGGAATAATCCTGTGGTCGAAGCGCGGTTGTCGTGTGGTTGTTGATACCAGCACAGAATACCGAGTATCAGCGCCGGACCATCCAATAGAACAAAACGTCAGTGAATATTCGTTGTTGGTACTTGGTGTTTAGTACTTAAGTTGGTTATTTCGTCCTACGTGGTGGTTCACACTGATGATAACAATCATGAATGTAATTTATTGCAGAATGTCGTGATAAAAAATGAATACCTACTACAACTATATTAGATATATTGATTGCAGATTTTAGTTATGAACTGCAATTTACAATTTAGTAAATTTGTGTACGATTTTTTATAATATTATATTTTAATAATATATATTTTTATTTGTTATATAAATTTGTATATTTTGTGTGTAAGTATTAATAGTTTTGTGTAGATTCCTCCTTGAATTCCAAACAGGTACATATTTATTGTTTGCTTGAAACTTGAAAAAATTCAGAAGACCAAAATTTGCATTTTATTTAAACATTTATCTAGAAGTCAACATGCATACCGATCAACAAGTGAAAAAAAGGTTACTCGATGAATTTAACGACATAGAATCGAAGAATTTGTGGAACATTACGTTCAGAGTAAGTAAATTTAATGCTTGTAGATTTAGTAGGTTTGTGTCTATGTTTGTACTGTAAATAATATAATGTCTCAATTTGTTAGCATTTTATTCTATTTATTTAATTTTATAAATAATGAATTGAATTGTTTAATCTGAAAAATTAAGTTAATATCGATATTAGTATGTATTTTATTTAATGCTGTATCCATACACTAATAACATAAGTTAGATATATTCATTATAGTTTTGTAGATTAGTACCTACTTTGCAAAATAAACATAAAAAATTGAGATGATATATCCCCTCCCAAATCTAAACTTTACACTGTTTCACCTTACATTAGATTATTAAAGCCCCCCTAAAAATTCAACCAAATGTCCGCCTATGCATGGGATAAAAACGGTTTTGGACCAGCTCTGTACTTAACGCTCTATCAAGAGTCAAATATGGATGGTATACGATTACACCTTATTCCAGAACAGAGCTGACAACAGTACAATTGAGAATAACTAGTGCATATTTGAATTATTTGTAATTTTATTAGGTAGTATTAAAGTATGTTTTGAAAAATTAAAAAATGCATTAATAATTTTTTTTAATTAAATAAATTCAAAAACTGTTATTATTTTTAAGAAATTAATAAAAATAATCATTTAAAAACTATAGATCAAATATCCAATAATTAATATACCAAAAGTTGGAGGCCAAAAGACCTGTAGCTGTATAATATCTCTTGGTAAAAAATCTTCATATTTGCCAGGGACAAATGCCTGTTTACCAATTAATTTATGTTAAAAACAAATAATTCACCCAAATTTATTTGTTTGGTAAAAAAGCTTGACAATTTATTGCAATGTTCCTAATATATTGTTACAACAATGTTTGAAAAATATTAAAAATTGGATATTCACTAAATTTCTGAAGTAGCGATTTTCTTAAAATTTATATCATGTTTATTTTATCAATTCCTCTACTTTATAAAATTGTAATAAAATGTAAAACATTTTCAAATCTTAGGTTTAAAAAGCAAATTTTAAAATTAATGCAAGATTCCTCAATTTTGTAACCTTTATCAGAAAAAAAAATGTCTTCAAGAAAGTCAAATTAAATATTTATGAGTGTGAAGTTCATATTTTTACAATATTGGATATTCACTCCATTTTTCATGTAGCTATTTTCTTATTTTGTTGTAATTTAAAAATTAATAGCTGTAGATTGTAGATACATGACAATTTCACTGAATATTTATATTTTCATTATCTATACACCTTAGGTACAATTTTTAAAATATTTTAACTCATTTTGAACTAATAAGAGGATATTTTTTTATAAGCATTTAAAGTTCAAATGTTGACAAAATCTATCAAATTAAAAATTTACAAATTGTATTATTCAGTAGTCAAAAATTTATAAAATGTTCAACTTTTATAGCTAAGGATTGAAAAATTTAAAACATTATTCCACGTAAATAGGTTATAATATATAAATTACTTTATTCACTATAATATCATCAAATATACTTGGTAATATCATAGGCTGTCAATCATTTTTCTTATACAATGATATTATATTATTGAATTCAAATGTAATACAATTCTTTACAGTGACCCACTTTTGACCTACTGTACAGCAGAGCGACACCCACTTGCCCAACTATTTTTATTTTCATCCAATTAATTTGTTTATTTTGCTTTTGATAATTTTTATTGAATCATATCGTAGTAGTATAACAATTTTACTTTAATTAACTATCTTTTGAAGTATCATACATAGGATTTAATAACTAAAGAATTATTATATTTTAATTATTTTTCAGTTTGTTGAAGTAGAAAGTTCAAAAATTAAAAAAACTTCTGATGAAGCAAAGAAACCACAGAATAAGGCTTTAAATAGATATCAAGATGTATCTCCTTATGATGAAACTAGAATTATCCTAAAAAGAGGAAATGTATCTTACATAAATGCCAATCTGGTACAAGTAAGAAAAAGATTTATTGAAAACAATTTTAACTTAAGTATTAACTATTGTCTGAAAAATGTTTCATTTAGTATTTAATTCTATACATTTTATATTTTTTTTAACTAGATGAGAGTTATCTTTGGATTCCGCCTTTACAGGCAGATATTAATTGTAAAATAAATACTGTATAGAGGGTAATCCACCTAACATGAGCATATACCTCTTTAATCCATCACCAAAATATTTATTCAAATTCTGATTTTTAAAATGTATTACCTTATATTTTGTATACTTAAATACCACATTTCCAAATACTATTTTTTTACCATTTTTCAGTCACAATTCTAATTTATCTAAATTCATAGTGCCATAGTGGGGAGATGAATATATCGGTTTTACAGTAATGTGTGTTTATTTTTGTATCTGTTATCACCTTTTGGAACATAAAAAATTCTTTGATTTTTAACATTGAGGATGGTTTTTGGTGGAAAAATTTGATGTAGTTAGTGGGGGATCAAAAATAAAAAATTTCTTAATAATCAGAAAGAAACAAAATATAAATTAAGTATAAACAAAAATATCAGAATATATACAAAGCCAGATTTTGACAAAATCGGTATTGTTTTATTGGTTGAATTCAAAAACAAATAACTGTGGATACTTGAAATTTTCACTAAAATGTTTATATTATCATTTATTGCACATAATATAATTTTCAAAACTTTTTTGAGCTATTTATAAATATTTAAAATTTTTTTTTTTTGTTAGAATTTTGACAAAAATCGTAACAGAATGACAAAATTGCAAAACTATGCAAATTATTTTGTATTTAAAAATTCATATAAATTTTCTTTCAATATCTAAGATTTAAAAACGATGAATTAAAATACTAGTTTCTGTATTAAGTTTACCTGCGTTTTTAGTTTCTTCTGTAGTCTTATGATAATATGGCTCTTAAATGTCAGCGATTAGTCCAATTTTGGAATATATGGTCTTTAATTATACTTTAAAACTCAAATAATCAGAAATTGGAGAAATTCAAAAATTAAGGAAAAATGGGTTCTTTGCATAATTGGTGAATCATCTATACAGGGTGTCCCGTGAGGATTTACTCATTAGCCGTAGAGGGGGACTCGCCGCCCGGACAAAAACCAGTTTATTGACGTTTTACTAATAAACTAAAAAAATTATTAAAAATCATGAGATTAATGAAAATAAAATGTTAAAAGCTCAAAATGTTCACAAAAATATTCTCTATAGAATGGCTATCTTCAATTTTTTCAAAAATAAAAAAATAAAAAAATAACTTTTTTAACTTTTTTACTAAAAAATTTAATTTAATTAAAAAATAAAATATTTGTAGTGCTTACCTCTGCGAGTCTTAATAAAAAACATAATTACGATATCTCCATTATTTCAGGAGATATCGCAATGAGTAAATCCTCACGGGACACCCTGTATATACAAATTTATGTTTTTATTGCTTGTTTACATAGGTATGTAATTGTGAAAGGCAGTATATACTGACTCAAGGACCCTTAGAAAACAGCACTTCCCATTTTTGGCTCATGGTATGGGAACAAAATAGCAAAGCCATCGTAATGTTAAACAAAGTTATCGAAAAGAAAAAAGTAAAACATTTTAACTATATTCCAATTAATTATTAAATTGGAATTATTAACATTATTATTTTTCCTTAAGCTTAAATGTCATCAATATTGGCCGAAGAAAAAAAAAGATAATGATAAATTTGTATGGAATGATGTTGGTTTATCTGTAGAATTTGTTTCTAAAATCAATCATGGATTTTATGCACTAAGTGTTTTAAAGTATGAATTAACCAATTCTGTTTGTTAAAAATATTACATTGATTTTTTTTCCTTAGGCTTAATGATTTAGATTCAGGAGAATCTCGTGAGATTTATCATTTCCATTACACTGATTGGCCAGATTTCGGAGTACCAAAAACTCCTACGCCATTTTTACGTTTTCTCAGAGATGTTAGACGTAGTGGTAGTCTTGATCCGTCCAACGGGCCAATTGTCGTTCATTGTTCTGCAGGAATAGGACGTTCAGGAACATTTTGCTTAATAGATTCCTGCCTTATAAAAGTGAATAAATTAAATGAATAAATTCAAATTTAGACCATATAAAAAATTATATATTTAAAATAGATGAATACACCAGAAGGCTTAGACTATGTTCATATACGTACATTACTAGCAGAAATGAGAAAATGTCGATTGGGTCTTGTGCAGGCTCCAGAACAACTACGATTTGTTTACCAAAGTGTTATTGAAGCCCTCGATTCAGATTGGGAAGCAGATAATGAGGTAAATATTATTATTTAAAAAAAATTTATTTTATTTTTTGAAAGATTATGGTTAATCATATTTTTTAATATACATATATTCATTTTAAAATTATTGCTCTTTCAACTATCTCAAACTTTATTTTTTCTTTATTATAATATAATAAAATGAATACATAATACTTAAATATTTAACAATTATTGATTTGTAGAGGTTGAATGGCCTACTGTCATATGTTACAGAGCATAGTAGTCCGGTGCCCAAATTGGGCTGAAAAACCGTGGTTTTTATTTATTAAACAAAAAAAGTACAGCCAAATAAGATGTACTGGTGCCATTAGGCATTAGCACTTCAATCGTTGAACAATTTAACTGGTGCCAAACGTACTCATTGTTATATTATTTAAAAAATAATTAAATAATAATAAATTAAATTAAATAATAATTTTATTGAATAGGTCCCAGGAATGTATGCATTTAGTACTTACATATTTTTACTTGGTTGTCCACAAAAAGCTTAATTATGATACAATTTTTTTTATTTATCTTGAGAATTGGTAACTATGGGCCATTAGCATTTTGTAGGGGGGCTAGGGTTGGTTGAGGAACATGTTAGTGACTGAGCCACACCAAGCCCCATGTACAAATTTAAATAACATATTCTGTTAGTTTAACAAGGTCAAAAATTAAATTAAATTATGCATTATTAAAAATAATTTTTAAAATTATATAACAATAATATATAAAATGTTTATGTTCATAAATAATTTCTACATTTTTTTTTTGTCATTTTTGTTTTTTATTTGTACAATTTGTATAAAAAATAATATTTACAATAAGTACAATGGAGGGATAATATATTGGTAATTGGACATGGTTGACTTGTTGAAGAGACTATTCATTAATAGCACTTCATGGCGGGAAATTTCTACATGAAAATAAATAGTTAATACAAAAACACAAATCATGTTCAAAATTAGAATGTGCACAAACAATAACATATTTGCATTTTGATAGCTTTTAGTGTTTGAATTTACAGTTCCCAATAATGAGAAAATGAAATAAAAAATGTAGAACAATAGCAAATGATAGAGATCCACTTGATATAATGATACCAAATAGCTATCAGAATTGTAATTTTAAATATTAGTTGGATAAAGATATTTTTTTTTTGAAAACAAACTTTTGATTTGTATTTTAAAATGTTGATTCAAGCTTACCAACATTTAATCAATTAGCTCTAGGTTTTTTGGGTATATTATTTCTTAGAACAGTGGTCTGAATATCTCCCTCCCTCCAAATTTGTAATGATTAGTTTTTAATAACAATATATAATCTGTATGTGTTTGTTTTAGGATAATTTACCTAGTCTAGATGGCTCATTATTGAATAATATAAGTGAATCAGACTGTGAAAGTAGTGATAGCGAACTAAGCAGTGAGGCGCCCCCTTTACCTCCACCTCGTATGGAATCATTAAGGCAGCAAGATGAAGATGATTATGATGATGAAGAATCATTAGTGTCAGAATCTGATAGTGATGAAAATGAATCAACCCCACCACCATTACCACCTCCCAGAGATCTCGATTTATCTAAACCTAATGAGTATGATATTTCATTAATAATATTTAAAATAATGAATTTAATATTTTATTTGTTTTATTTTAGTTGCATGGAGACAACCAATACCAAAGATGAGCGCATTAAGAACAAAGTTGAAGGAGAGGCAGAAAAAACCAAAATTATGGCAGACAAATTAAAAATAATGAAGAGAAAACAAAAAGAGCAAGAAAAATGGGAACAAATCAAAAGGTCCTGGTTTTATCCATTGAGAAATTTAGGCATTGGAGTTTTAGCTCTAAGTGGTGGTGTAATGATTGTCGCATACTTGATGAATTATAAAAAATAACGTTTTTTAATTTAATTATTTAAACTCGGCTTTACAATTTACAAGGGCATTAACAGACATATTCAATGTTTGCTTTAATTTAAATATAATAAGAAATGATATTATAGATGACAACCAAATATTTATCAAAATAGCTATACTTCCATTTGAATAATTAAGACTGAAAATAAGCATTATGATAAAAAAAAATAAGAATAAAGCCAAATTTTTTCTTTGATTCTACCTTAGTTTTAATTTGTTTTATAATATTATAAGAAAATGAAATTACATGGAATTTTGTCTATAAAACAAATTAAAATTATCTTTGTGGATTGTAGATGTCGAGCTTTATAAACAACAAAAAATGTAAATAATTTCAAATGGCATAAATCATACCATTTTACTTTAATTTAGCCAATAACACTTGTAAGTAAATAAATTATCTATTTTCTTAATATTTTCTTAATGAATTGATTAAAATTAATCATTCAGTAAATTATATTATACTCTACACAATATTATTGAATTGAATTAAGTTAACAGAGTATATATTTTAATAAAATTGTAAGATATCAATCTACAATCACAAATTGTGGCAACAAAAAAAAACTAACTGATATGACGTGTGTTCTCTTATTTTTTTTTTTAGTTTAAAACTTAAAAAAATTAAATAAAAATTTAAATAAGAAAAACTTTAATTTTTATCTACGTTTATTGTCCTTTGGTGTATTATTAGTTTCTTTTTTAATTATTGTTTTTGGAATATGGATGCTACTGTTAAGATAATTTTTACTTAAATTTGATATTTAATATTAATGTAACGTAATATTGTGAACATTCAACATAAAGAAAAGATTTATCAAAACATGTTAAAGATCGATTTTAACTGAAAAAAAATTACTTATCTAATATTACTTAAAACTTATCCAAATATATAAATTATTTTTCATTGAATTCTGCTTGAGCTTAAATATACAAATGTTTTGTTTTTTTTTCTACCCAAAAATGTAAAAATTTATTATTCTTAATATCTAGTTTATAACTAAACAGTGTAACTAATATTAATAAGACATAAGCAATTTAGGTTTAGGTTATTCAATTATTTTTGTTAAGTATTATAAAATGCAATGATAAATAGTAACTTAAATATTTTAAATTATATATTGATCAAATGTACTACTGTCAGAATATAAAAATTATCGAAAATAACTATTATTATTTTTATTACACTTATGTTAATCAACGATTTATAATTATTCTACTTAATATGTGATTTTAATCATTTTATGGTAGGTAAATAATGTTTGCTCATACCGTAAAGACTGTTTAATTGCGTTTAAATTTCAACTAATTATAAAACAACTAAAATGTTGGTAATACAGATTTATTTATTTATGATTATGCTAGGTAAAAATTATACTATATGTTATACATTTTTATAATATTTAAATTTAATCAATACTTAATAAATACCTTGAATACAATTTAATATTATAAAATGTTTTGTTTTACATTTCTAGGCACTGCAACAATGGAAAACAAAGTAAAAATAAATGAAATGGAGTCGTTTTCTTCACATTTCTTGAAAAATATTTTATACACTTAAGAAAAATAAACACAAATAAAACTTTTTTTTGTCGCGAAAAAAAGCCTAAAACATGTTTTTACCTTAAATATAATATACATAGTATTATATTAAATTAATATAACGAAGAAACAAGTTTTTAACACTTAATAACCTATATAATTATGTCACTAATATTTTTGACTTATTACATAAAATGATTTAAGGGTTTTTGTAACTAAGAATTATCTTAATAATATTAAATCTGAAAATAATTGATGTGTGTTAGATAGAAGTAGTTGTAATAATTGTTATTAAATTTTAGTTATTCTTTATTTTATAACTGTTACTGATCATTGTACACAATAAAAACTAGATAATTAATGTAGTAGAAGATATTAATTATTAGGAAACGGTTTTTTTTTCTTACATATAATTTGAAGTTAAAATAATGTTTTATTAATTGTCTTGCTCAACAAGACTTGATAGCGTTCAGTGGTTATTTGTCACCCAATACTCAGTACCCATCATTAATTTTAGGTGGTGCAATTTCACCACCTCGAGGGGATTGCAAACGGTCAGTTATTTCAACCAAAATGTACCAATCTTTTGTCAATCATATCGATAGACCTAGTAATTTGATTATACTTTTAAATAATGATTTGAATTTAGTATTATTATTTATGAGGGAGGTTTTGTTTGTTAAACCCCCCACCCCTTGGTATTTATACCATATGTATGATGTAATAATAATTAATAAAATATGCATATACATTTTTAATTACTATGCACATATTTACAAAACCCGCATGTATGTAAATTAAAAATTGCAATCCTATAAATATTAGCGGGCAAGTTAGGTAATTCACCAAAATTGAAACCATTACATGATTGTCTGTTTATACACAAATCCATTAAAACTCACTTCACGCGGCTTAGAAACAAATTGTTGGTACCCATATCATAATATTAAGTAGCCAATACCATATAAGAGTTATTAAAAAAAAAGGTGCTATAGCAGTACAATTAGTTTGAAAATAGAGTGATGATAATTCTGTAATCAATATAATTCATGAAATTATATTAGATATTGGATTCTTTCTGTAACCCAGATGATAAGGGTAGTTATGATTTTGTTCTGAGGGGGATGGATCATTTTTTGGATAAATGTCAGATTGAATAAGATAGGTTTTCAATTAGGCTGAATTAATGTTTGCCAAAAAAATTTCATTGGAAAACGTCATTGTGTATATTATAAGATATAGCTAGCATACTTTAAAGTTTCAAGTACCGATGAATAATACTGTTAACTTTTACTTTAACAAAATAATCACTAAAATTGTTATTTTTCGTTTCAAGATTTTATTTCGTCCAAGTTTGAACTTAAAATATCTAAAATATATAAATAGATATAGTATCTACAGGTGTGTGCTTACTGTCGGAAATATTTTGGATAGTAAAAATTCTCCGATTTTCGAGATCAGCATCTTTTCTGGTAAAAAAGTGAATCCATAGTTAGTACTTGGTGGAGATTTAGATATGTTGCTGGCACGGATCCAGAGCAAAGATCTGGGGGGGATCTCCAACAATTTTTTTACAACACAAACAGGCGGGGATACAAGTGGGGGATATGAGGGCTGAAGACCCCCCCCCCCCTTAGACTAGGACTTCGGTAATTAAATTATTTCGAAACTTAAACTAAATGCCCATGATTTTATGTACTTTAAGTAGTAAGCACATTTTTTTGTCTAGCCCCCCCCCCTTTTAATTTATAGATCCGCGCCTGAACACAAATACAATTATAATAAAATATTATACTTTACTAAAAATATTGTCATAATAGTAGGGGTAATCAATGAAATAAATAAATCATTGATTATTTAAATTAATATATATAGCGACAATGTGAAAAGAAGTTAAGTTGAGTGTACTGCTTAGTCCTTATTAAGTGAGTAAGTAAGTCACTGTACTATATCTATTAATTTATATCAAAATTGAAAATTCAAAGTAATTTTAGAAAGCGTCAAGAAAAAGAAAAAAAAGTAGTGATTTTGATACAAAACCAATTTTTGGAAAAATCGATTTTATTTTGTTGGTGTAACGCAAAAACTAATAACCTCAGACCTTTGAAATTTTCCTCAGAGTAGCTCTTTTTTCAATAATCTCTTGATTTTTATGAACTGGTGATATTTTTCCGAAATCAAAATATTACAAAATTTTTTAAGAGCTTTTTATCGTTCTTACTTTTGCGTCGTACTAATTATTCAATTTAATATTTTTATTGATGGATATTGGATAAAATAATGTAAAAAAAAGCAAAAATTGCCAACGGCACGTAGTGTTCCCAAGCGGTCACCCATCCAAGTACTAACTACGCCCGACGTTGCTTAACTTCAGTGATCGGACGAGAACTGGTGTATTCAACGTGGTATGGTCGTTAGCGATATTTTTTCGATAATGACAATACTTAAATAAAATTAGTTATCTAACTAATAAAAAGAGTGTCGTCTATTGACGTTATGTGCGTTACAAACCAAATTATTTAATTTATAAATACATGTTGACGCAAGACGCGTATTACGTGTGCTGTAGTAGCGACGTAGTATAGACAGTGTAGTACCAGTACGCATACCGGATAGCCATAGCCCATAATATTTAATTATAATAAATTACAAGTGTGTGTGAGTGTGTGACTATATATTATAATTACAAGTGTGTGTGAGTGTGTGACTATATATTATAATATAATATTATAGTGAATAATGAAATAGCCAATAGGTCGACATGAGGTATCTATATATATAAATGTATTTATTCTTTCAACGTAAGGAAATACTCAAATGCCTATATAGATTATAGTTGTTAAATACCTACATATACTAATTAATACGAACAGTAGGTAACCAGTAAACACGGCACGTATAACCTACGTTTATAATAAGACTAATTTTGGTGTAAACATAATATACGTACTACGTAGTTATTAATCGTATAATGACGGCATAATAATATACGTTTAAATAGGTTTATTTTACGTTTACAATACATATACATTATACATACACCTATACGGCTATACTTATACTTGTACATTTTCCGTGATCAAAGTACGTTTATTCAAAGTTGATCATACGTTGATCATTGGTAAGTCGGAATATCGTAAATGATATACCATTATATTTTGTACGTTACCATCACCGTTAAAGATATAATAAATAATAATTAAGAATCGTAGTTACCATAATAATAATAGTGGGCAGTGTATAAGGTCTATGACTGTACCGCACGTCCGCACCTCAAACTAGTAACTACCACTGGGCAGTGGCCAGTGGCCAGTGGGCAGTATCAATGTATCATTCACAATAACCCGATAACGACTATTCAATTATCAATGTGGATTGGGGAATCATGTGTTAATAAGTTATAAATATATTAAACGTTCTGACCGTTCTGTGAC